TGAAAAAGGGTTCCTCACCACTGATTGTGATACTTGGCCTCTTGCATTTGGTAAGCTAGATACATCTTACTAAGCGGGAACTTACCTGCTCTGGGTCTAGCTCTCCTGGAAGTGAGCTAGCAATGATGCTAGAACGATGCAATGCGGGAATTTCAGCTAAAGCATCCATGACAGATGGTCATCCAGCTTCTACTTAAAAACCTCCAAGGAAGGAGAGCTCAACCTCCTGAAGGAGACCTTTCCACTGCTGAACAGCACTTACTGTCAGCAAATTCTTCCTGGTGTTTAGTTAGAATCTCCTTTATTGTATCTTGAAACCATTGGTTCTAGTCCTACCCTCCGCAGCAAGTAAACAAACTTGCTCCATCTTCATGTGACAGCCCTTTAGATATTTGAAGATGGCTATCCTAGTGCCCTCTTTTCAAAGTGAAACATAGCCAACTACTTCAACCGTACCTCATAAGACTTGGCTTCTAGACCCTTGATCATCTTTGTTGCCCTCCTCTGCACACGTTCCAGCTTGTCAACATCCTTTTTAAATTGTGGCACCCAGAATTGGACACAGTATTCCAGGTGTGGTCTGACCAAGGCAGAATAGAGTGGGACTATAACTTCCCTTGATCTGGACATTATACTTCTGTTGATGCAGTGTAGAATAGGATTAGCTTTTTTTTTGCTGCTGCATTGCACTGTTGACTATGTTAAACTTGTAGTCTACTAAGACCCCTAGATACTTTTCACATGTACTGCTAGTAAGCCAGGTGTCCCCTATCTCATATTGGTGCATCTGGTTCTTCCTGCCTGTGCAGAACCTTACATTTGTCCCTATTGAAACTCATTTGTTAACTTGCACCCAGTTCTCCAATCTGTTCAGGTCATTTTGGGTTCAGTCAGTCAACCAGCTACAAATCCACCTAACAGTTACCTTGTCCAATCCACATTTAACCAGCTTCCTCACAAGAATATCATTGGGAACTTTGTCTAAAGCCTTACTGAAGGCAAAATACACACTGATCCACCAAGCTTGTAACTCCATCAAAAAAAGAAATGAGGTTCGTCTGGCATGACTTTGAGTATTTCTGACCATGGGATCTTACCCAGTAGCTCCTAAGCTTTTTGAAACTGACCTTCTTAAAGTTCAGGGTGCATGTCTGTCTACACTCAGCTTTCACTTGCCTCTATAGCATGAAACCCAGGAGATTATGGTCACTTCCCCCCAAGTATCTGAGTACTTCCACTTCATCGATCAGTTCCTCCCTGTTGGTGAAGACCAGGTCCAAGATTGATGATCCCATTGTTGCTTCTTCCACCTTCTGGGAAATGAAATTATAAGTGAGGCAACGGAGGGATTTGTTGGACCTTTCATTTGTGGCAGAATTTGAGTTCCAACAGATATCGGGGAAGCTGAAATCTCCCACGACTACTATAATGGCAATAAAAGGAATTGTGGCAGCAGGGATTGGAAGGTTTCTTCTGTTCACTGTTCATGGGCAAGTGTCTCTGTTTCAAGGCAAACACAAACTTGAGCTAACCCTGGCCTGCTTTCTCTGCTTTGGATTGGACATGAACAGTGGTGAATTTTGGGGAAGCGGGTGATACCACCTGCCAGAGCACCAGGGTAACTGGCAGGCTGTCCTTTCTCTGGCTTCCATATGCACTGCATCAGGAAGATTTTAGGCATCACATGGCAGGACAGAATCCCAAACAAAGATGTGCTCTCCCAAGACACATTCCCAGCATTTTCACACTCCTGTCTCAGCAATGCTATGCTGGCTTGGTCATGTCCACAGAAAGGAAGATGGCAGGATCCCCAAGGAGCTGATCCATAGGGAGCTGGCTTCAGGCCCCAGACCCACTGGCAGACCAACTCTGTGTAACAATGACATCAGCAAACTTGAAGGCTGGAAACATCAACCCTGCCATATGGAAATCGCTTGCAGATGATCGCAGTGCCTGTGGACAGACAGTCAGGTTGTGCATCTGCAGCAGTGACCAGAGGAGAAATGTCTGCTTGGGGGAGCACAGAAAGAAGAAATACCATGGTGCATCTGCACACAACCAGAGGACTTCATCTGCCTCACCTGCAATAAAAACATGTTTCTCCCATATTGGTCTCTACAGCCACAGCAGACACTAATTCTCCAATGGTTTGACTTTAGCCCCAATGGCACGCTCTTCCATTGTCTCTTGAAACAGATGAACACCAACAACCATCCTCTGGCAAGTGAATGAATTGAGAATGAGGCTTTCAAATTTGTTTGTGACAGATTAGCATAACACAGCCTTTCCCAATCTGGTGTTCTCCAGACATTTTGGACTACAACTGCCCTCAGTCTCAGCTAGCATGGCCCATTGGAATGGGATCTTCAAGGAAGATGGGGAATGTAGCTCAAAACATCCAGAGGTCTGCAGGTTGGGATAGGAAGTGAGAGAATTAAGGACATTGTGAATTAGAGACGAGATACTTCTTTTTTCTTTGTGGGGGGGGGGCTTCTTCAGAATGGCTAGCAATATAAATGGTAACATTTTGTTAGCATTTCTAATTAAAATCTTAACTCTTAAAAGTTTGCATTTCAGCTAGCTGAAGGTCTTTTGCCAAAGCTCAATGTGTTTTATAAACTGAACCTCTGCTGTCAAATGTCAACACCACTGAGTTCAAAGAAACCAGCTCCAAGACTAACTATGCATAGGGTTGTGGTCATTGCTGATCACAATTAAATGGATATTTTGCTATGACAGTGGCCGCTGTTGCTCATTAGGACTAGTAGGGTGGAAAGCAAAGAGACCAACAGTAGATGAAGCTAGTGTAGGCTTGCCATATGCCCTCTTTTTCCAGGACAAGTCCTCTTTTTCATGGGTAGAGTTAACATGGCAATCCATAGTTAAACTTAGAAGTCGGCAAATGTGTTTTCTTTTTTTGCTCTTCAAAATATGGCAGCCCTAGGGCCAAAGACAGGCAGAGGCCTCTGCCCTGACTGATTTTAAGTAAGAAGGCAGACAGGCAGGCTGTGGCTGGCTGAGAGTTCACTGAGGTTGCTGGGACCACCTCCACTCCAATGGACTAGCTTCCACTGTGCTGTGAACCGCTGCTCTCTCAGAATATGGATGTAATAATCAATCAAAACAGCTGCCTGCATTTTTGAGCAGTCCTTGGAGGGTGACGCCATCGTGATGATGTCCTGCATTTCAAAATCTGCAGCTGCACCAGTGGCCATCAGGGTGCCATAATAGAAAAACACAATTGCCAGTCATCTCAAGAAGGCACTCTAGAAGATGTCCTGAAATCTGCAGTTCCCTAAACCCTCACAAAAAAATGTGACACTGACCCAGTTTCAGATTTTTCAGATACAGTAGAAGCAAAATGTGCCATCTTGAAATCTGTATTATTGTTGCATTTATTTATTTTTTCATTCATTCGTTCACTCACTCACTCACTCACTCATTCATTCATTCATTCATTCAAGAAAGGCCTTTAGGGTGATCCGTTTAGACCACAGAAGGTGGCGAGATGCTCTGGTAAAAGGAGCCTTTCATGACCTTCAACACAGCCCAGGTTGGTCAAGCTGCCTTGTCTTCATAGCATCTATAAAATGCATTGGGGATAAGTAAACATAAATAATCCACGCACACCGCTTTTGAAAATGTTTATTGCAGAGCTGGAGAAATAGGCAAACCAAAACAATGATCAAAGGGTTGGAGCGACTTCAGTATAATGAAGGGCTATTCTTTCTTTTTTTAAAGGGAGGGGTGTTATTTCTCTTCCCCTACCCCCAATACCTGAGCTGTCAAATTGCCAGAGATGCCTTTGCAGGCATGAAAGGCAGCAGACTTATTTTTTATAGATAATTCAATAAAAAAAGTCAACATCTAGTTCCCGCTCGGTGCCCCCTTTGAAACTGGAATGGTCCCACGTTCCACAGAGTTGACATCTCTTCCCAGCCATACAATCCATATTATACAGTGGCAAGAAATTTGGGGTAGGAGGCTAAAGATCAGAGAGCGGCTAGCTTTTCCCTCCCCTCTCCCCCCTCCCCACCAGCCCCGAAGCTTTCAACAGGCTTTTGACAAATTATACAGGCCATTTTGTGCTTTGCCAGCGGTGACATGTTTAAACTCCTGCCACCGTTTGAAGTCAGATGTTTTACATTCTTTCCCAGAACACTCATGACCATTGTTCCTTGACCACGTTTGCCAGAAGCCACCGTGCAGGGTAAAAGCAGAGGTGCTTTAGGATTCCTGCTAAGGGTGCTTCCCTCACAGCAGTGCTGTTTGCTTGGAGAATCTAGAACAGCTCATGATAATGCACATATCCTTTACTTTGATAGTTCATTTCCATAATAAACAATAAATAATAATAAGCTGGTCAGTTGCCTGATTTGGCTGGAGTTGTGCTCCCTCTGAAGGAGCAGGTTCACAGTCTGGGGGTCCACCTGGATCCACCTCTGGCGCTGGACACTCAGTGGCTAGGAGTACCTTCTTCCAGCTCCACCTGATAGGACAGCTGTGGTGTAGTGGTTAAGAGCGGTGGACTCATAATCTGGGGAACCGGGTTCGCTTCCCCGCTCCTCCACCTGCAGCTGCTGGGTGACCTTGGGCCAGTCACACTTCTCTGAGTCTCTCAGCCCCACTCATCTCACAGAGTGTTCGTTGTGGGAGAGGAAGGGAAAGGAGAATGTTAGCCGCTTTGAGACTCCTTCGGGTAGTGATAAAGCGGGATATCAAATCCAAACTCTTCTTCTTCTTCTCCTTCTGTTGTTGTTGTCCATGGGGTACTACTGCAAGCCCCTTGGGGAGCTGCCCTTGAGGTTGGCCCAGAAGCTGCGTTAGTGCAAATTGCAGTGACTCCCCTGATCACTGAGGCAAACTGTTGTCACCATGTTGCGCTACTGCTGAAATAATTTCACTGGCTGCCCATTAGCTACTGAGCTAAGTCCAAAGTGCTGCACGTTGCATTTTTTCCTTCCTTCCCTTTCTGTTTCTTTGGTTATTATTTGGGGAGGGGGTTCATAGCTCAGTGGCAGAGTGCCTGTTTTGCATGCAGATGGTCCCAGGTTCAATGCCTAGCGTATCCAGGTAAGGCTGAAAATGTCCCATGTCTAAAACCCCAGAAAGATGCTGCCAGTCAGTGCACAAAGGAACACGATAAGCTGCTTTATATCAAGTCAGGTCTTTGGCCCATTTAGCTCAAAATTGTCTGCAGTGATGCAGTGTCCTGGATTTCAGGCCAAGGATATTCCCAGACCTACATGGTAGAGACACAAGGGACTGAACTAGGGATCCTTTGCGTGGCAAGAAGATGCTCTACCAGACAGCAGATGATGCTAAGCTAGATGGACCAATGATCTGAGCTGGTGGAAGGCAACTTCCTCTGTGTTTACAAAGGCTGCTCCTCCATGAGATTTCTGATTTGGTCACTAAAACACCCACTATGGTTACAGCTTAGTTGGATTACTGTAAAGCCCTCTACATGACAATGCCTTTGAAGAGTGCTCAGAACTTCGACCCCCTGCAATGCAGGAATCTCAGCTAAAGCATCCATGACGGATAGCCATCCAAACTCGGCTTTAAAACCTTCAAGGAAGGAGAGTCCACAACCTCCTGAGGGAGACAGTTCCACAACTCTTACTGTTAGAAAGGTTTTCCGTATGTTTAGTCGGAATCTCCTTTCTTGTAACTTGAAGCCATTGGTTTGAACCTACCTTCCAGAGCAGAAGAAAACAAGCTTGCTTCATCTTCCATGTGACAGTCCTTTAGATATTTGAAGATGGCTATCATATATCTTATGAGTATCCCATTTTCCAGGCTAAACATACTGTTGTAAACAAAAATTGCCCTTTTCCCTTATGGGGTATCCAAGAGCCCATATAGAGTCCTTACATGGGTGCCCTATTGGTAGGAAAGAATAACAGAGGCCAACCAGAGAATATTGAGAAGCAAAGCAGCTAGTAAGCCTGATCTTTATTGATCTGTTGCAACAGGGTGCTCCCCTCACACGCAGGAGAGGAGGAGGACCCAGAAAAATGGCGTGCAAGGCCTTATAAAGACTTTTGAAATTGCCCCCCTGTAGATCAAGACCACCCCCAGATACATCATACCTACATCACAGAAAAGGCGGTCTAAACAGAAATTTAAATGTTGTTTATCTCTTGTCCTTGTTTATCTCCTGTCTGGCAGGTTACTTGATTGGATTTCCTGGGTAGCCTGGCCAGTCTTTTGTAATGATAAATACTTAGTTCCTGGGCCAGGTCACAGGCTCACTCCCTATTCATATCTTAAATGTGTCCTTAAGACAGGATTTTTGAGGAAAGAGACAATGGGGAGGTTTCTCATTTTGACCTTGTAGAGAAAACATTTGCTCAGTTTAGGAATCAAAATGATTCCAGGTTGGCCTTCCTGTGCTGATCTATGTACATGCTTGGTTGGTACACTTATGAGCATTACCATTTATCTAAGACCATAAAATTCCTATCACAGGGACTATGTCTAAAGCCTTACTGAAATCAAGATACACTATGTCTGCAGTATTCCTCTGATCCACCAAACTTGTTAACTCCATTCTGATCTTAGAAGTGTTGCTTACAGATATTAGACAAGATGAGAGAATTATGGGAATAAAGAAATAAAAGAAAGAATAAAGAAATAAAAGAAACGTACAAGCTAAGAGAGTTTGCGGATGATGACAGTGTCTTTGGGAGTGTCATAGCTACAGAGGAACTAGCCAAGCACCACTGAGGCTCCCAGCCTGCGTTAGGGCTGCCATACATCCTGAATCTTAGGCAAGTCAAAAAGAAAAAGAAAAAGAAAGCTCAACAAGTTTGGTGATGTCCTGATTTTTACTTTTCGAAATATGGCAACCCTAGGTGTGTGTGTGTGTGCGCGCAAATGTGTGTGGGGGTGTGTGTGCCAAACTGAGTCTTTGACCTAAGTAAAATAATTGCAGGGAGTAGGAACTTTATGGACAAATTAAAGAAGTTTGGTACATTAGCAGGTTTTAAGATTAACTATCAGAAAATGAAAATATTCACAAAGAATATATTAACAAAAAATATGACAAGAGAAGTCCAGAAGGTTTTGATGCAGAAAAGAGGGTTTCAAATTGGGGGGGGGAGTTAAATACTTGGATATTACTATGACAAGTATGAATAATATATATATTATTTCAAAATAATTATGTTAAAACATGGGCGTCCCGTCAAGATGGGGAAAGTTAAAATTGTCATTGTTAGGTAAAATCTCCGTGATAAAGATGAATCTCTTGCTCAGAATGATGTTTATATTTCAAACAATACATATTGTGACTAATATCTTAAAAGATCTAAGTTTTATGGAAAGGTAAAAAAAAACACCATAATTTAAAATAAAAGTACTACAAGATGCAAAGGAAAGGGGAGGATTGGGACTCCCTGATTTGAAATTGTACTTTGCAGTCTGTTGCTTAGTGTGGATGAAGGAATGGGTGGCCTTGAGAAATAAGAGAATTTTGGAAGGTCATGATTTAAGGTTTGGATGGCATGGATATCTGTGGTATGACACAGTCAAAGTGGATGCGGACTTTAAAAATCATTTTGTTAGACATACTATATTGAGTCTGGAATAGATATAAATGTAGGTTATGGACTTCAACATATTTTGTAATAAGACAGCTGCTTTGAGATCCTGTACTGAATGTCCTGGAAGAATGAAGTGTTCTCCTACTGGCTTATCTGTCTTGTGATTCCTGATGTCAGATTTATGTCTGGCCCATTTATGACATGGCCTGTTTGTCCAATATAGAGAGCTAAAGGGAACTGCTGGAATTTGATGGCATACACAATGTTAGAAGATGAGCAATTAAATAGGCCTGAGATGGTACGTTTGATGTTGTTGGGTCCAGTGATTTCAAAGCAGGATCTCAAATCCCAGGATCTCATATGCTAAGCATGGGTAGGCAAACTAAGAACTGGAGGCCAGATCCAGTCCAATCGCCTTCTAATTCCGGCCCGCGGGCGGTCTGGGAATCAGCGTGTTTTCACATGAGTAAAATGTGTCTTTTTATTTAAAATGCATCTCTGGGTTATTTGTGGGGCATAGGAATTCGTCCAGCTTTCCCCCTAAAATATAGTCCGGCTCCCCACAAGGTCTGAGGGACAGTGGACCAGCCCCCTGCTGAAAAAGTTTGCTGACCTCTGTGCTAAAGCTATTTTTGGTTATCTGCATACTATCCCTTGCTTTTTCCTATGGGACTAATTGCAGTCGTTAACAGTCATCAACAGGTTTATCATACCCATTGAGCCAATCACCCATCTCCTATTACCCCTCTCAGAAAAACCCCACCCCACCCTCCCACTATATATAAGGGTCTGGTGACTTCTGTTTCAGTGTATCTGAAGAAGTGTGCATGTACAAACTTAGTTGGTCTCTAAGGTGCTACTGCACAATTTTTTAATTTTTTAATTTTTTTCCAACTGCGTCAGACCAACACAGCTACCTACCTGCATCTACCAAGAATTATTAGAGTAGAGTCAAGGGGATTGTAGACGTTCTGTAAAAAAAGAAAAAAAATGACATTGGGTTTGAAGACAATGTTTGTTTAGAGAAAGTAGTCCTGCTGTGGGTTATATTGGAGTGCATGAGACGAATTATGTATACAGATGAAAGACAAAGAAGCAGAGGTTCCTTAGTTTCTTAACTTTATTTTCTCTATCTTTGTTTAAATTCTAGCTATCTCGCTTTATCTTTCTTTTTCCTTTTCCCTCTCTTCTTCCCTGGGTCTGTTTTTATTTTACTTAGATTAATGTTTCAGTTTTGACAAAAAGTATACTTGAGAATAATCTTTGTATCTCTCTTTATATCCTTCCAGGATGCTCTGCTTGATTATTTGTAAATAAAGCCAGCACTTCACTACAGCGGGGTAAGGAATCTCTGCTCTGGCAACTGAATGCAGCCCCCCCCCCCCCCCACTTCTCTGTGGCTGCCTGGGACGTGTCCTTGAACTCAAGTCTTGCCTCTCTAGCCCTCAACCATCCCAATTTAAGCAAGACATCCCAAAATTACAGACGCCATCCCAGCCCAGGATTGGATCCTGGAATGTCCCTGTTTTGGTCTTGTGCTCTCACACGAATCCCCCCCCCTCCTAATTTAACCTCAACAGCAAGCCTGTGAGGTAGTGTGGACCTAGAAGCAGTGACTGGCCCCAGGTCAGCCAATGAGTTTCATGACTGAGGATTTGAACCCTGGTCTCCCACACTGGCTCAGGAAAGTGAGGAGTGTTATTGCAAGCCTTTTTGAACTGGGGTAAATGACATAAAGGGAATCGGGGTGGGGGCTGCATGTTTTATTGGTGTTTAGATTAGGAATAAGAGACTGGATTTGTCTTTCTGCCCTTTGATGGAAAAGTATTGTCAATATTTAGATTCCCAACAGCATAGCAAACCTTTCCTTCCTGGAGTACAGTTGAAATAAAAAAATAATTGATTGAGAACTGAAACAGGCATTAAATTATCTATATATAATGTATACCTTTAAACATACTCAGATAGCATGACGGTAGTGGCAGGGAAGTGAGCTCACAGCCAGAGCTGCCCTGAATGAACAAGCGTTTATTAGTCTTTGGTGAGACAAAAAGGTTTCACTGGGCTGGTTGAACAGAAAGAAGCAGTCATGGCAAGACTGGAATATACATGATGGCAAGTGGTGGTTCTCAGACTATTTTCTCTGGGCCACACTTTCAGAATAAAAATATCCTCGTGCCACACTGAATTTTTTATTGATAAGAAATTCATTGGAAAAGAAACAACTACTTTATAATATGAACATGTGAAACCAAGACTCGCAATAGCTATCCACATATTGTCAACAAACCTTTTTGGGAGTTTTGCTTGGAGTTACTACTGGCGTCAAATTAAACGAGTCTTCTCCTGCGCTCTGTTCAAATGGTGATTCTGGATCACAACTAAGATTCTCCTTAATATCACTTGATGATCTTGCTCTCATTTTGAAAATATATCTATCCGCAAGTGATCATGCCAAAACGAATCTGTTAGCCTTTGAGGTGCCACAAGACTGTGTAGACATTTCAAAGAGTCACCCAAGC